TTTAATTATTGTTAGTTTAATCATATATATAATCAATGTTAATTCAAAGTATAACTAAATAGTTTTATTTTGAACAAAGTAATGGTGAATTAAATAAATCAAACAATTATAACTCCGCCCACAAATAAACTGCTAAAGAAATACTTTGATTACCAGTTTTATCTTTTTACCCTGGTTGAGCAGGGCCGCCTCGAAACACTCCTCCTTCTTTCGAGGCGGCCCTGGGTTGAGACGGTTTTATGCTGGTACGTATTTGTGACAGTCGGCGCGAAAGGGTTAATAGTAGAATAAATAAGGGTAAACATTTTCTTTTAATTACTACATCGTGGGTTTATTGCAAGAGATTGTGTATTTCAATGTTTTCTGTAGAGTATATCATATAATAAAGTTAAATAAAAAGAAAATGATTGTAGTAAGATGAAATAGAAACACTAAATTGTTAACTATTCTTAGACGCAGCTTCAACTTAACATTTTCTTGAACTCTTTCCGGAACAGAAAATTTCGACTGAAAATTTCTGTCAATGAGGATGTTAGCAAGTGCGACTTTAAACAGTACATTCTGAGAGAAACAAAATAATTTAACTCTTTGTTGTTTAAAGTACAGTGGTTGCCAAACGCTTAAAAGCAATTAGTTTCCCATTTTTAGCATTTTGAAACATACCTTGAATTAGTGTTGGCTATTGTTGTTGGTGATGGTTAATAGTTAATAAAAATTCCAACTTAGAAAAATTTGTTGCAGTTAAGCCACAGAGAGTTTTTTTTATTAAATATTGCAGTTTGAACCGCGATGGCTCAGGGGATAGAGCGTTCGCCTTCCAATGAGGTGAACCGGGGTTCGATTCCAGCGATGGCTGGTCGATATGAATTCCGCATTCGGCTTGCACCGACCACAGTGCTGACGTGAAATACCCTCAGTGAAGGACGGATCATGGGTTAGAGTCCCCTTGCAGTGAGGCTAACCGTGGGAGGTTCTCGTGGTCTTCCTCTCCATTTAACGCAAATGCGGGTTAGTTCCATCAAAAAGTCCTCCATGAAAGCCAATTTATTCCAGTACTTGATCCAGGAATTCCCTCGTCTTCTGGATTGGATTCAAAATCACAAGTCTATGGAGTTGAATATTAGTAAACGCGGAACGGAGTGAACCCAAAATTGGGTCGGGTGCTCAGCGACGGTTATAAAATAAAATAAAATATTGCATTTTAATTTGCCCAATTATCCGCATCTGCAATCGAAACTGCATAAAACTTTACATTTCTCATTTTTAATTACACAACTTCTATATTAATTTTTCCCATGGCATATTTATACAAAAACTGAAATTTTGTATATTAAGTTGCATTGAACCAGAATGCTACTTAAAAAAGTAAGTTGCATTGAACCAGAATGCAACTTTTTTATAAAATGTCTATTCCGCATTTGTGTCAGTGAAGTAATACCTGCGCAATTCAAGCTACACCCAACTACACTAGAGTAATTTAAGCATTTAATTTTATATTAATAAGCAGATATGAATATGATATGTATATTTTTGTGAAATTTTTTAATATTGACTTATTATTTGCATTATTCTATATAAATTTTAATTTTGTGTTTCCACTTAGGTTCAGACGATATGCAGAAATGATAAATCTCACTATCGATAAGTTGCTCCTGGCTGTGGAATTAGAATGGAAATGTTTCCCAACGTGAAAAGAATATCAAAGCGTTCCTTTCTGTGCCTTTATTTTACGTGTGCTATGTTCATAGTATGTGTTTTCTACACATTTTATACGGAAACATATACACAACTTTCAGGCAATCCTGTTCGGGACACTAGTTTTGAAACTGTGAATGAAAAGTCAACCAAGCCTTATCTGCTGAACCAAAAGCAAAGTCAAAGCATTCCACCCTTAGCGTCTTACACATCAAGCCATAGAAATTCTTCTAAAAACACTCAACATTCCAATGATACCACCACTTCTAAAACGATATCTTTGAGACATTCTAAGATCGAAACAAAATATATTTTTGTAACGAGTTCTCCATCTAGTAGCAATACAACAGCTAAACTTTCTACTGTTTTACGAACAACTCCCGTCCTCAAGGTTGTAGATACTTGTCAAATGTATACTATGAGAGATCCCAAAGTTATACTTTTATGGACGCCATTTTTTCAGGAATGGGACTATCTTCTGCAGAAAAGGATAAACGATTGTCAGAGGTGTAGAAATTGTCTAATAACACGTGATAGAACTAAACTTGGTGAAAGTGATGCTGTGGTGTTCCATGCCCGGGACATGTCATTATCTGATTTGCCAACCATACGCTATCCACACCAACGGTGGATTTTCTTTTGCTTAGAATCTCCGCCATATTCAGATTTTCCTGGTATGGAACATATGGTTAATATGTTTAATTGGACTATGACTTATCGAAGTGATTCGGATATCATTTCCCAATATGGAAAATTTATTAGAGTAAGTATAGTCGTTCGTGCTGTTATTTTATTTATCGTATAGTTTAAAATGCTTATTGTAATGTTACCAATTCATTAGACAAAACGTGTTGGGATCTTTGAGTAATAGTGACATATCGTCACTTATTGTCAAGAAATATTGCTATTTTCTAATAGTTGCTATTTATCAATAGTTGGAGACGCATCAAAAAAGCGTTTTCCCCGTATAACTATTTAATTGATATTTTGCTTTCACTTAAAACACATCAAAATGACTAGTTTATTCCTTTATATTGAATCTATATTTAAACTGTTTAAATGTAGTGGTAGTTGAAAGTATATTTTATCTTATTTGTTGTATCAGAAATAAAGCATGAATCCAAAAATTTTGCCTACATATGAAATGCAAAAGTAAAATCTTATGGAAAATCTGGCAAAGCTGTCAATTATGCATGAGTGTGTTACAGGGATTCCGCAGGTATTAAATATACGATAGTGGTCGGAAACTTACATTTACGTTTTTAGAAAATTCCATTTCTAAGATACCACTTCAACGTTTAGAAATATGCCAGGCAATGGATCGGGGAAAATAATACGTTCCTATAAAAAATATGTATTGGCAGTCACAAATGTTTTAATCTATCGTTGTTAGTCTTATTTTCGGCATTAATATTATTAATTTGTAAGACTTATAGGAGCCCTATATCGATTCTCTTGGTGGACAAACAATAAACTAACTTTCTCATCAGTTTTAATTTTAAGAAAACAATACCTTGTTTTTACAAAACTATTGCGCCAACTATAACGCTTTTTGAAACTTTGTAGGCAATTCAGCTTAACGCTCATATGGATGATTTTCAAGTACCTTCCATTTATTATGCATCTACTACGGGAATTCCGTTAGTTGTTGAAGGGAGAAAAAAAAATCAAATAATAGTCAAAATCCATAGCAGCCGACTTTTAACACTTTTCAGAAATAATTTTCTTAGTGGTTTCTTAACGTTTTGGCGTATTAAGTTTTGAAGTTAAAAGTTATAAAAATAGTTTTTTTTCTCCAGGCAATCACGACGAATGAATAATTAAAAAAAAGTAGATAAGATTTATGGCTTATTATGCATATAAGTGTCTAAATAATTTTGTTTTTATAAAACTTTTTTTTTCTTCCACTTTGTAAAATATTTTTTAACGACCGTAGAAGTAGACTGGTATGCAAATTTGATAACAACGAATTATTTATTTTTTCCCTAATGGCATCATTTGACGCGGGAAATGATGTCGAATGCTTCATTCCTCATTTATTTATTTCGAATGAATAAAAATTGTCGGCAAAACTTTGTTGTTATCAATGAATTTCAGAAAAAATCTATTTGTTTTTAAATTCTAGCTAAATTTAAAATTGGAATGTGGCCAAAATTTTTAAAAAATTCTCTCTTTAATTGAAATTTTTACAATCCATAAATATTGCAACGTTGCTATAAAAACAGAGTTGAACCTGAAGTTAGTTATGGATTTTTTGTGCTTTTTTATTTGTATGATTTCATAAATATCTATAAAAAAAAATAAAAATTCCACAGATAAAAATTATCCTTTCTTATATTAACGTGGTTGAGAAATTATTAATTTATGCTTTTGATTTATTTTAAGATATAAATAACATCTATAATTATGACGGGTATAACTAAGAAGCAACGAAGCTATAAATTAAACGTGGTATGTTATAATATATCCAAACAACGTTACCCGGCAATCATTTAATTGTCATCTCATTGTCTACAACTAATGATACCATTTTTTTAAAAAATGGAACTCCTGCCTTCCATTCTACTGATTTTCATCCAATTAGACTAGCCATTTCAACTGGGTAACATGAGTCACGTGGTCTATCGATGTACAAATGAAAGAGGATCGTCAAATCACTCACCTCTATTTCGTTGTCGCATATAATTAGGTATATCGAAATGAATAGCTATTTTCCCTTTTTTGTATCTTAATTGGGGATCCTATCATTAAATATCTTTTTTAATAAGGGGTTGTGTCCTAATTATATAAATGTTTTATTCGCGATCCAAAATATGACCGTTTTGTTTGAAGCTTTCAATGAGTACAATATCTGCTTCATTCTGTATTATTTGGTAATAATACTGATCTGAAACTAGATACGCCAGACACGTATCCATTTAGATTCATTCATTCTTTCGTACTTGGTAGATGTAAATGTGTGTAGTAGTTCGTTTAGTCTCAAGCTTTCAATGAGTACAATGTCTGCTTCCCTCTGTATTATTGGGTAATAATACTGATCCGAAACTAGATACGCCAGACTCGTGTCCATTTAGATTTATTCACTCTTTCGTACTTGGTAGATGTAAATGTGTGTAGTAGTTCATTTAGTCTCAAGCTTTCAATGAGTACAATGTCTGCTTCATTTTGTATTATTTGGTAATAGTACTAATCTGAAACTAGGTACGCCAGACTCGTATCCATTTAGATTCATTCATTCATTCTCTCGTACTTGGTAGATATACATGTGTGTAGTAGTTCGTTTAGTCTCAAGCTTTCAATGAGTAGAATATCTACTTCACTCTGTATTACTTGGTAATAGTACTAATCTGAAACTAGGTACACTAGACTCCTATCCATTTAGATGCATTCATTCCTTCTCTTGTACTTAGTAGATATAAATGTGTGTAGTAGTTCGTTTAGTCTCAAGCTTTCAATGATTACAATATCTGCTTTACTCTGTATTATTTGGTAATAATACTGATCTGAAACTAGGTACACCAGACTCGTATCCATTTAGATTCATTCATTCATTCTCTCGTACTTGATAGATATAAATGTGTGTAGTAGTTCGTTTAGTCTCAGTTGCGTTGATATCCGAATCTTTAAACAATCGTTTCGCCTCGTGTTAGACAATCTGACAGTTACAATCTTAAGTTTCTTGCATATTACTTGGTTACGTAATATTCATTATTACGCGTATTATTCAAATAATTTATGTCTCATATTTTAGCTTAATCTGTTTAATTATGCATATTTTAGCTTAATTATGCTTAAATTTTTAAATATATAGTTTGACATGTTTTTTATGTTATTTTCTTGGATAGTTTTGAACATCAGACAGATTTAATGTTTATGAAAATTATATGCTAAATCTTGAAATAATTCTGATTAATTAAATGTACTAACCTTTAATATCGCTTGTGAAAAATGTTCCCATTGGAAACATTTTATCTGTGTCAAATTTCAATAAAAAAAGTATTAATAAAATACTGTTCGATTAAAATGATGTTTAAAAAAATTTCAGGGATTAAATTTAACACCTTATTATAATTTTTAACACATTTGGGGTATTATCCATGATGAAATAAAATATTTAAACCAGAAATGTTAGATTGACCAAATTTTATTTAAACAAATAATATATTTTCTTTTGTTACTAACTTAATCATAACAATAATAGAGAACTGCCATCATTCTAGGCTTTTAGTAAAAATTTATTCCAGTGATAGAAAAGTTTATTTTTCATTATATGATTATTTGTTTAGTTTATGATTATATGATTTAGAATTACTTTTTGCACCTATACATGTAAATGATTCATTAGTCCATGTATAAAGGCATTTTGTTCCAGTTCTCTTATAGTGAAGCTTTTAAAGTTTAGTAGTTGGCTGTTCTGATTATAAAATCTGCATGTAATTGATTTCAAACTTAAACGCTATTTTTCAAATCTCTACAAATAATATACGTATAATATGCTTTTTTTTAGTAAAATGTCTGTAATTTTATATTCGTTTTTTAGGATCAAAACTAAAATTACAGATAAGCTTATTAATTCAACGTAAACGCAATAACAATTTTATTTATTAAAAAATCACTTCCACTTTTATATAAGATCTCAATTATAATTCATTTCTGATACTTATCAGTCATAAATTTAGATCTTAATATAAGTGTAAGGCATAAAAAAAGTATAAGCAGAGATGCCAACTGCTCCGGACACGCCAAAATAATTAAAAAAACGGTAAATAACTACAATGTAAATTTTGCAAATATTTGACTATTTTTGCTTGCTTTTAAAAAGTATAGCATGACATAAGTACTNTATCTGCTTCCCTCTGTATTATCTGGTAATAGTACTAATCTGAAACTTAGGTACGCCAGACTCGTATCCATTTAGATGCATTCATTCATTCTCTCGTACTTGGTAGATATAAATGTGTGTAGTAGTTCGTTTAGTCTCAAGCTTTCAATGAGTACAATATCTGCTTCACTCTGTATTATTTGGTAATACTACTAATTTGAAACTAGGTACGCCAGACTCGTATCCATTTAGATGCATTCATTCATTCTCTCGTACTTGGTAGATATAAATGGGTGTAGTTGTTCGTTTAGTCTCAAGCTTTCAATGAGTACAATGTCTGCTTCCCTCTGTATTATCTGGTAATAGTACTAATCTGAAACTTAGGTACGCCAGACTCGTATCCATTTAGATGCATTCATTCATTCTCTCGTACTTGGTAGATATAAATGTGTGTAGTAGTTCGTTTAGTCTCAAGCTTTCAATGAGTACAATATCTGCTTCACTCTGTATTATTTGGTAATACTACTAATTTGAAACTAGGTACGCCAGACTCGTATCCATTTAGATGCATTCATTCATTCTCTCGTACTTGGTAGATATAAATGGGTGTAGTTGTTCGTTTAGTCTCAAGCTTTCAATGAGTACAATGTCTGCTTCCCTCTGTATTATCTGGTAATAGTACTAATCTGAAACTTAGGTACGCCAGACTCGTATCCATTTAGATGCATTCATTCATTCTCTCGTACTTGGTAGATATAAATGTGTGTAGTAGTTCGTTTAGTCTCAAGCTTTCAATGAGTACAATATCTGCTTCACTCTGTATTATTTGGTAATACTACTAATTTGAAACTAGGTACGCCAGACTCGTATCCATTTAGATGCATTCATTCATTCTCTCGTACTTGGTAGATATAAATGGGTGTAGTTGTTCGTTTAGTCTCAAGCTTTCAATGAGTACAATGTCTGCTTCCCTCTGTATTATCTGGTAATAGTACTAATCTGAAACTTAGGTACGCCAGACTCGTATCCATTTAGATGCATTCATTCATTCTCTCGTACTTGGTAGATATAAATGGGTGTAGTTGTTCGTTTAGTCTCAAGCTTTCAATGAGTACAATGTCTGCTTCCCTCTGTATTATCTGGTAATAGTACTAATCTGAAACTTAGGTACGCCAGACTCGTATCCCTTTAGATGCATTCATTCATTCTCTCGTACTTGGTAGATATAAATGTTTGTAGTTGTTCGTTTAGTCCCAAGCTTTCAATGAGTACAATATCTGCTTCACTCTGTATTATTTGATAATAGTACTAATCTGAAACTAGGTACGCCAGACTCGTATCCATTTAGATTCATTCATTCATTCTCTCGTACTTCGTAGATGTAAATGTGTGTAGTAGTTCGTTTAGTCTCAGGTGCGTTGATATATGAATCTTTAAACAATCTTTTCGCCTCGTGTCAGACAATCTTACACTAAATTTCTTGCATATTACTTGGTTACGTAATATCCATTATTACGCGTAACATTCAAATAATTTCTGACATATTTTAGTTTAATTTGCTTAATTATGCTTATTTTAGCTTAATTATGCATTAATTTTAAAATATATAGTTTGATATGTTTTTTATGTTATTTTCTTGGATAGTTTTAAACATCAGACAGATTTAATGTTTATACAAATTATATACTATATCGTGAAATAGTTACGATCAATTAAATGTACTAACCTTTAATATCGCTTCTGAAAATTGTTCCCATTCGAAAAATTTTATCTGTGTCGAATTTCAATGAAAAAAGTATTAATAAAATACTGTTCGATTAAAGTGATGTTAAAAAAAATTTCAGGCCTTAAATTTAACATCTTATTACAATTTTTAACACATTTGGGGTATTATCCATGATGCAATAAAATATTTCAAACAGAAATGTTAACAGATTAACCAAATTTTGTTTAAATAAATAATATATTTTCTCTTGTTACTACTTAATCATAATAATAATAGAGAACTGCCATCATTCTAGGCTTTTAGCAAAACTTTATTCCAGTGATAGAAAAGTTTATTTTTCATTATATGATTATTTGTTTAGTTTATGATTTAGAGTTATTTTTTGCATCTATACATGTAAATAATTCATTAGTCTATGTATAAAGGCACTTTGTTCCAGTTCTCTTATAGTGAAGCTTTTAAATTTTAGTAATTGACTGTACTGATTATAAAATCTGCATGTAATTGATTTCAAACTTAAACGCTATTTTTCAAATGTCTACATATAATATTCGTATAATATGTTTTTTTTTTAATAAAATGTCTGTAATTTTATATTCGCTTTTTAGGACCAAAACTAAAATTACAGATAAGCTTATTAATTCATCACGCAATAATAATTTTATTTTATAAAAAATCACTTCCACTTTTATATAAGATCTCAATTATAATTAATTTCTGATACTTATCAATCATAAATTTAGATCTTAATATAGTAAGGCATAAAAAAAGTATAAGGTTTCTGTTACTACCTTACTGGCTATCTAACATAGATCTTATAGATTTATACCTACCAGTTACGTTTTTAAACCTGAAATAATATAAAATAATTTGTAGCTAGAATGTTATCCTTTTCATTAACATGGAATGCCATTTTAAACCAGATAACAACCAATTATTAAAGTGGTTGTTATCAAATCTTGAAAATAAGTAATTTTCATTTAAATCGGTTTTAGGATTTAAGGTCCTGGTAATCAGCGAATTAGCTGCGCTCCGTTGTAGGCATGCAAACACACGAAGATTATACAAATAAAGTGGTAGTATGATTTGAATATTTTTGAGCACATTAAATGTTCAATTATTAGAAGTGATCTACGGATGAAAAACACCTATGTGAAAAAGAAAGAGAGAGAACATAGTTGTTCATTACAATTATATATCTATATATTTTCAATGTAGCATTTCAGTTTTGAGAAAAAAAGCACTGTGCTGGGATTGATGATGCAATGTAAATTTATGTTTCTCCTATTATTATATCATGAGTTATTAATAGATTACATAGTATATTATTTATGTTATTAATTTGAGGTAATAATTTTTATTCCACGACTGTAAATCTTAATAATATATATATATATAAAGAAATACAGGAAAACACAACGAAAGTTAAGAAAAACAATAAGTTTCATTTATTGCGCTTAAGTTGCGAGTAAACAGAACTCATTAGATAAGTTAGAATAAAACAAAGAAAAATTACAGACATATGAGAAAAAAAAGGGGGGGGGGTGGAAATAATAAGTAAACAAATAACTAACAACAGTTTAAAAAGAAAGAAAGAAAAAAGGATGAAATTTTATTTAAAAAACCCGAAAAAAAGATATAATCTATATATAATATCTTTTTTTCTATATATCATATCTATATATTATAATATTTAAAAAAAAAGATAAGATCTAATCCGTAGATCACTTTTTTCCGGTTTTTTAAATACAATTTAATCCTTTTTTCTTTTTTTTTAAACTGTTGTTTGTTATTTTTTTACTTATTATTCCCCCCCTTTTTTTTTCTTCTTCATGTGTCTATAATTTTTCTTTGTTTTATTCTTCATTTTGAGCTTATATATACAGGGTGTCTGAGTTAAGCGTTTCAGAACTTCTAAGAGGGGTAGGGGACATCCTGACGACTCGAAATCATATAGCAATGTGGGGTCGGAAATGCTTTCCTGAAGCGGTGACGTACACAGAAGCACCATAAAGAAAAGAGACCGTA